CACATCATAATTTACGGAAAATCCACTCACTTAGCGACATAAACTTACCGTCACTACGGGAGTGGGTGAGATGAACACGCTGATCTCGGATCCGCGATAAGAGATGCTCGTCTGAGTGTTCTCGTCGTACGACGGCGATGACTGCTCGGCAACGTGGACGGTGGACTTCTGAGAATAGCGCGAACCTGTATAAAAAGCCGAAGCTGAGACTGACGCCACGACACGTTCCTGACAAATCAATCCGATAACAAAAGCATTTTTCTCAAATTTGCTCAATGTTATAACAAAAAGCCACAAAATTCTAATATTCCGAATCAAGCAGCGTAAGATCAAACCAACCGATGCTATTAGTATCAGTTCTCGTTTTTCCCAGCCAAACCCATTCCTTCGAATCTTGATCGCAACCACCTCCACTCGAGGAGGAAGAAAGCCGGGAGAGCAATGGAGCCACGAGCTTTTCATACCTGCATGAAAAATATCAGTGTAGTATATAGTGAAGGCTAAACAGCTAAGTTTACCCGTTGAAGGTAGCTCTTTTTGAGAAAAATCGCACTACACCGGCGAGTATTATTAGGAACAGTATAGCTGCTAGAATTGTGTCCATTCGCCAGATCGAATCCGTATTTGGTGGAGGAGTGGCAGATGTTGCTGAAATAAAAATGCGTGAAGATCCAGAACCGCTGATGTAACAACGCGTAAGCTGCGTCTACTAACCAGGGAGGGACCTATAATCGAAATCGCCTTTTCATATGAAGTATGTACCAATATGAAGAGCATCAAACTCTGATTCAAAAACTGTCTCTGTTTTTTGCCAAGCGCCTGTATAGGCTGAGTTATGAGTGCTTTTTGGAGCGAAAAATATAGCAAAGTCCACGCAAAATCAATGCTATGATCTTTCCAACGCTCAAATAAAGAAGTGTTGAGTCAAATATATTAGACAAAAGGTTTTTCATGAATGGAGTGCCCTAATATTCAACACTGGACCATTTGCGCAATTTCGAAGAAATCTGCCTTGGTTGAGCATTCCATGTTTGAGCCAAAACTCGGCGTTCATAACTCGGCGTCTAGAGACGCTTGCCAGATAATAAAGATAGATTTGAAATCA